TGGAGCTCTGTCTTCTATGTCTATGGTGAGGGACTTGAATGCGTGGCTCTGGGTGGCACCGGGGCTGAGTGAGGCCAGATGTCACCCTGCTCCCATCTCCCTCTTGCCCACCCCCAGGCAGCTTCGGGATCTTCTGGTACCTATTCTGGTTACTGGTCTCCTATGAGTCCCCTGCACTGCACCCCAGCATCTCAGAAGAGGAGCGCAAATACATCGAGGATGCCATCGGAGAGAGTGCCAAGCTCATGAACCCTGTGACGGTTGGTCGTCTTGAGGCTGTAGGGCTGGGCAGGGCAGAGAGGAGGGGCTGGCTCAAATCTCAGGAGACAGGACTACCAAGCAAAAGGCTGGGGCCAAATGGGGCTTGGTAATAAAGGCCTGTCATCCCAGCTACTTGAGGGGCTGAGGCAGGAGAATTGCAAGTTCCAGGTCAGGCTATAAAGTGAGTTCAGGGCCAAGCTAGGAAATTTGGTGAAGCTTTGTTAAAAAGTGAAAAGTGGGTTAGGGGTGTAGCTCACAGGTAGATTATTTGCCCAGAATCCCTCAGTGAGGGGTGGGGTGTGGCTCAATGACAGAGTGCCTGCCTAGCATACATGAGGTCATGGATTCTATTCCCACTACTGAAAACAAACAAACAAACAACAGAAAAGAAAATGAAAATAACTGGGCTAGTTTCCATATTAGGCTGGATGGAGCTCAGACCTAGAGCCTAGGTATAAGGTGGGCTGAGTCAGTGTTGCTGTGGCTATGGCTAAACTCTGTGGAGTGACTGACCTAACATTCTGCTGGGCTCACATTTATGGGTTCTCATGAGGCTCAGCATCTGAAACTGAAGGACCTCTGGGGTCAGGACCCGTCCTTCATCCTTACGATGCAACCTTAAAGCTGGAGTTTTAGAATTCCTAAGGCCCTGAGAGTAAAGATGAGGCCCATGTCTGAGGCTTCAGTGAGCTATGGTGGGGTCCCTGAAGGGACATACTGTTCCCAAGCCCAGGTATCTGTCTAAGCATGGTCTGCTCTGCCTTCCCCTCCCCTCCCCTCCCCTCCCCTCCCCTCCCCTCCCCTCTCCCCCCCTCCCCTCTCCCCCCCTGCCCTCCCCTCCCACAGAAGTTTAACACGCCCTGGAGGCGCTTCTTCACATCCATGCCCGTCTATGCCATCATTGTGGCCAACTTTTGCCGCAGCTGGACCTTCTATCTGCTCCTCATCTCCCAGCCTGCCTACTTTGAAGAAGTGTTTGGCTTTGAGATCAGCAAGGTTGGAGGGCAGGCGTAGGGGACTCAGTGGGGGTGAGGGAGAAGGTGCCTACATCCCCAGGCGAGGATGGAGGAGTGGCTGCCCATGACCTGTTCTCACAGGTGGGCCTGGTGTCTGCGCTGCCCCACCTGGTCATGACCATCATCGTGCCCATCGGGGGCCAGATTGCCGACTTTCTGCGCAGTCGCCGGATAATGTCCACCACCAATGTGCGAAAGTTGATGAACTGCGGGGGTGAGTGGTGGGGCCCGGGCGGAGCACAGCGTGGGGGGGGGGTGTCAAAGGGCATGGCTGACCCTGCCCCGCCTGAGTAAGGGCAGCGTGCAACAGTTTCGTGACGTCAGGTTTGGAGACCACCACGTGGAAATCTTAGGCGGATGAGTACAGACCCAGGTGGTGTAGAGATAATCCAAGCGGAAGGAGGGGGCCTGAGTCCTATATGACTCTAAAACCAGGAGTCACCCTAAAGTGGCCGTAACTGGGGTTTCAGGGAGACAGGTCATGGGTGGGGACCTAGCAAGATGGTTGAGAGTGGGGTCCCAGGCTTCATTATGCAATAAGGACAGGTCTGAGTTCTGAGGGTTCAGACATGGGGTGTTGGGGTCTTGCAGAGTGTGGCCCAGTCAGAAGGTGGGGTCACAGTGGGCCCTTTTAAGGCAGAGCAGCCAGAACACATGGGCTGGGTTGCGTCTTGGGGAAGCAGGATCCACTCTGGTTTGGTGGAACTGGAGTCAGGTCTTCCACAGGTCAGAGGTCACCAGATGGGGTCAAAAGAAGGGGGCTGGGGTGAAATCGACTGGGTATGTGTGCAGGGTGGCCAGTGGGGTCACAGTAGAGACTCGGGAGACTTGGTCCTTCACAGGCTTTGGGATGGAAGCCACGCTGCTGCTGGTGGTTGGATACTCACACTCCAAGGGTGTGGCCATCTCCTTCCTTGTCCTGGCTGTGGGCTTCAGCGGCTTTGCCATCTCTGGTGAGAACCCCAGATGGGTAGCTGGGGGTATGGAGTCAGTACTGGAATGGGCTCCTCGGGAGCAACAGAGCTGTCTCAGCAATGAAGACTTGCTACTCTCCCAGATGACCTGAATTTGGTTCCCACGGGCTACCTAACCACCAGTAGTGAATCAGATGCCCCCTTCTGGCCTCTATGGGCATTACACTCATACGTATATATCCTCACAGACATACACATAATACATATATGTTTTAAAAATGAGTGCCTCAGGAGAGCGGAGGAGGGGGCGGGTGCGACCCTGCAGTGAGGGTCTGGTGTGATGTTTGCTGACTTGATACTCCACCAGGGTTTAACGTGAACCACCTGGACATCGCCCCTCGCTATGCCAGCATCTTGATGGGCATCTCCAATGGCGTGGGCACACTGTCTGGGATGGTGTGCCCCATCATCGTGGGTGCAATGACAAAGCACAAGGTTAGCACAGACCTCCCGATGAATGCCTGGAACCTTCCAGTACCAGCCTCCCTCCTCTCCCTTTCTTTTATCTCTTCATTTTTCTTTCTTTTTTTTCTTTTTTTCAAGACAGGTTTCTCTGTGCAGTCCTGGCTTCCCAGGAATTTACTCTGTAGATCAGGCTGGCCTCAAACTCAGAGATTTTATCTCAAAAAATCTATTTTTATTAGTTTAATTTTTTTTATCGACTTAGAGCGTGTGAGCTATTTTGTGCTATGGGATGTGTGTTGGTTCCCTCTTTCCACCACGTGAGTCCCAGGGATAGAATCAGGCCGGAAGGGCGGTAGCGCCTCTAGCCGCTGAGCCGCCTCAGCAACGCTATTCTTTTAGTCAGAGGCTCATCATGTGGTCCTGGCTGGCCTCGAACTCACGGAGACCCGCCTGCCTCTGCCTCGTGTGCCCGGTGAAAGGCGTGCGCTGCCACACTGGCCTCCTGTTATTCTCAATTGTGTGTGCACGTGAAGTGCTGTGCCCACAGAGGCCAGGGGGCGCCCAACGGGTCATTGTGAGTGCCTAATGTGGGTGCTGGGAACTGAACTTCCGTAAAAGCACCAAGACCCTTCAACCTCTGGGCAATCCTTTCAGCCCCCATACATGTCTTTTTAAAGCCAGCATCTCCTGCGGCCCATGCTGGTCGTCCTCCCGTGTCCCGCCCCCTTTTGACCTTCTGCCATGTTGTGTTGTCTGCCCCCAGACTCGGGAGGAGTGGCAGTACGTGTTCCTCATCGCCTCCCTGGTGCACTATGGGGGTGTCATCTTCTATGGGGTCTTTGCCTCGGGAGAGAAGCAGCCATGGGCAGAGCCAGAGGAGATGAGCGAGGAGAAGTGTGGCTTTGTTGGCCACGACCAGCTGGCTGGCAGTGATGACAGTGAAATGGAAGATGAGGCTGAGCCCCCGGGGGCGCCCCCAGCGCCTCCCCCTTCCTATGGGGCCACGCACAGCACAGTTCAGCCTCCGAGGCCCCCGCCCCCAGTCCGGGACTACTGACCACGTGCCTCCCACTGATTGGCAGTTTCCAGGACCTCCACTGACACACCTCTAGCCTGGCGGCAGTGTGGAGGAACCCGACTCCGCTGTCCTGCCTCAGGCCTAAGATGCAAGTCTCCCTCGTTCGCAGTGCTGTCCAGCCACCCTTTCCCCTTCTCTCCTCCTCAAGGGGTGAAGCTGCAGTAGCAGTTTCACGGCTACCCAACCCCCCGGAGGTGGTTCTCCGCCTGTCTGCCTGTGTGGTTTCAAATCTCTCCTTTCAGGGCTTTGTTTGGATGGACAGTTCAACCTCTTTCTCTTGTGCTTTCGAGGTTACACCTTTTCCTAGGACCCCAGGGATTCTCAGGCTACCCCAAGACTATTCAGCTGGTCCCCAACTCTGAAAGATCCATGGTCATCCCCTGTCAGTTCCAGGGCTTTCCAGGTTAATTCTGCATTTCCCCGGTTGGTTCGACCAGCCACCAACCTCGCCCGCCATTCCAAGGACCGATTCTCACCAGCGTTTTGAGGGGAAAATGGCGGTTTCAAGTCCCCCCCACCCCTTCCTTCTCCCCCGCCCCCCAGCATCAGCGGTTTGCCAGGCCTTGTCCTTAGTTTAGTACAATGTCCAGGGAAATGGCCGACGTGGCTCCGCTCACCCGTGCTCTTTTTCTGACTCAGTTTTCAGGTCTAAGTAGTGGCTGGAAGCCGTCACTTCTTCCCCTCCCCCCGAGGGGGGCGGTTTCAGGGTCTCCCTTTCCCCCACAAATCCTTGCACTTTACTCCCCTGGGTGGGTCATACTGCCCTCAGTTTCTCAGTGACCGTTTGTTGTGTCCCTCAGGGGCTAAATGACTCCAAATCTGGGGTGCTTCCCTCATGGACACCCCTCTTTCAGCTCAGCAATCTGGGGAAGGTGTGGGAGAAGCGAAGGAGCTCCAGGAGAGGAGCAGGCTTGGGGGCAGGGGCTGCTCCCGGGGCAGGGCTGTGTCCTGGTGTCTGTCTCTGTGCCGTGAACCCTGCCCTGCCCCATCCACTCCCAATAAACGCTTTGGTGTACAGACTAGGCTGTCGCCGGATGTGGGTCACAAGAGCCGCGGGGCCGGGCGGACCCCAGGCCTGGCCTAGGGAGCGCGGGTGTGCAGACCCAGGCTTCACCCCAGCCCGGGCCTCAGTTTCTCCACCCCCCGCCCTTCGCCAAGCACTCGGCGCAGACGCTGGTGGGGGAAGATGGTTTATTGGGAACCTCTGCTTGGCTCTGCGGCTCCTCTAGGCGTCAAAGCAGGCTTGGGCCTGCGGTGCTGCTGTCTTCAGACAAAGTTGGGAGACAGCGCGGCCGGGGACAGGGCTTCCAGGCGCTGCGGCCCGCGGGGCGGAGGGGGCAGCTTGGGCGGCAGTGCGGGCGTGGGAGGCGGCTGCTGCGTGGCGATGTGCGAGGGCACCCACGCGTCGGGGGCATAGAAGTAGAGGTCCACGGGGTCCTTCGGGGCGTCCAGGTGCAAAGCTGCAGGGGCGAGGGTGGGGTCAGGCGTGTGTGTGTGTGTGTGTGTGTGTGTGTGTGAAACTGGGCTACACAGTGAGAGCCTATCTCAGAGGAGGAGGATGGGGGAGGGGAGGACCAGATTTACGGGGGGGGGTCTGTGTTTTTCTTTCTTTTTTTTAATTTATTTTATTTCATGTGTACTTGTGTTTTGCTTGCATGTATGCCTGTGTGAAGGTGTCACACCACCTGAAACTGGAGCTACAGACAGTTATGAGCTGCCATGTAGGTGCTGGGAATTGAACCTGAGTCTTCTGGAACCTTCTGAGCCATCTCTCCAGCCCCAGGGGTGGGGGTGGGGTCTGTGTTCTTTAGAAGGGAGTGCTAAGTTCCCAGAAAACTGGATAAGGAACCCTGAGGGCACTCCACAGAGAGCAAGACTCACCTGGCTCATCTCCACTGTCCTGGAGCCGGTGGTGGGCAAAGGACCTGTGTCTGGCGGCTCGGCGGTACAGACACCACAGCAGGAGGAAGATGCCAATTAGCATCCCTGTCCCCGCGAAGAACAGGCACAGGGCTCCACTGATGGAGCCTCGTGGGCGGCTGACCAGAGTCACCCCTGAGAGATGACACAGCCATTTGAACTGAGTGCTTCATCCTTCAGACCCAGCCCTCCTCCCTCACATCCAAGACTTCAGGCCCTGTGTTCCTCTCTCAGACCCACTGCCCAGGCCCAGCCTCCTCCCTCAGACCCACTGCCCAGGCCCAGCCCTCCTCCCTCAGA